TAAATAAATAAATAAATAAATAAATAAATAAATAAATAAATAAATAAATAAATAAATAAATAAATAAATAAATAAATAAATAAATAAATAAATAAATAAATAGGGCTCCCCATATTATTTGAAGAAATATCTGTATGGCTGCCTGTGTACCTACCTGTCATAAGGAAACAAGCCAGTAGCTGTAAGTACGGCATTTACAGCTAAACACTACCTCTGCTTTATTTCAAACAAAATTAGTAATAATCTTGCCACTGTAGTCCAAGTTAATTGTGGTTCAAATCACTCTTAGACAAAATTCTTGATAGGGCCCAATGACTATTTGGGCTTGGCGGCAACCTACCAAACCCATGCAAAAATCACTGTGTGGGGAGACCATGAGGGCACCTTAAAAACACTCTTCATTTTTTTAGCAGCAATTTGTGAAATGTTTTCAAAACAAGCCCTTCCTGCTTTTCCAAAGAACTTTTTATCAATTTCCTTGAAACCCCGGGGATTTGATTGTGCTACATAGGTAAATAAAACTAAGGCTGTTCTACTTTGGGCATATTATGAGAAAAATAAGATTCTTTGTGAAAGACAATAATGCCGGGAAAGGCTGAAGGCAGCAAGAAAAGGAGAAGACCCAATGAGAGATGGATTGATTCCCTAAAGGAAGCCACAGGCTTGAGTTCACAACAGCTGAGCAGGGCTATTAAGGACAACACATTTTGGAGACTGCTCATTCATAGGATCGCCGGACGTCAGAGGTGACAAATAGGCAGAAGTATCATTGTGTTATGTATATAATGTTAGCAGGTCTATACAGTTTTCATTCTATCCATGTATACTGAGCATTTCCCAAAGTGAGTACAAAAACAACTAGTATGCACATCTATTATAATTATGGCAGCAGGAATATATGAAGCCACCTTATATTAAATCAGTCATTTGCTCCACCTGTATTAAAGGTCAGAATCATGCCCTCTGTGTGCCACATGTGCCCTCCCAAGGCCACAGACCTCTCCCACATTGCCCTCATTGTCAGAAAAAAATAAGATGAAAAGGTTAGAATCAGGTGTCTAGAAGTTTCTGGAAAGACAACTGTTCAATAAAATAAAATGTGCCTCCCTGCACTGTATTTGACCTCAAAAAGACATTTTTGGAAACTCAAAGCAGCTCTCTGACCACTTCCAATTTTGTTTGTGCAGTCTGTAGTGCTGCCAACCCCCCATTTCTGTAGCTGACTATCCTATAGTCAGTGTTAACCACAGCTACTGGCAGCAACTCTCCAGAATCTTTTCCTGAACATACTTAATTGGGAATGAACCTGAGAGCTTCAGTGTGCCAAGCAAGTTTCTTTCTGTTGAGCTACAGCTCTCCTCCAACAACTGGAATGCTAGTAATGTGTGTTCTGGAAATGACAGAAAACACACACCAGATACAGCATCTAGTGAAATCCAGCTAGACTTTGAATTACAAATGAAATTACTCTGTGGCACATGATATGTCCATTACAATAATGTAATTACAATACTAATGTACCTTGAACATCTCGGGTAGGAGGCTATCCAATCTTGGTTTAAAAACTTCCAGCAGAGTACATCACTCAGTTATGTCAGGTAGTTCTTAGTGTATGTGTTTCATGATCAAATGCATGTTACATGTATTTAAGCTGCCAACATTACTACAGATCTGAATCAGCAAGTAGAGTTTACCAATGGCAGGTAACTTCTCCCATGATATCTGTGAGTGAATATGCCAATATTTACAAGCAGTCCACAGTCGCTTATGTCCCTTATTAACAGGCCTTTAGCAAAATAGAGTTATGATATTATGGAGGAGAGAAATTGTATAGTTGTTTGTGAAAATACCCTAGCTTTGCAGAATATAGCCATGAAGATTTTAGGTGCACTGTGTTTCTCTGTTTAAATAACCAAGTGAATATAAAGGTGAGAAAGCCCCACCGACCCCATCTTGTTTTTTCTGAATGCATAAAAGTACAGGCTGACATATTCAAGATTTCTGAGATCTACAATACTATCTTGTCTCCTGTAGCGCTAGAGCCGACTCGCATATATGATGGAGTTTCACAGCATTATATTATTTGAAAAATCCAACTTGAGAAGCAACCACTCTGCTGCAATTCTGTGTGCATAGCACATAAAAATGGAAACTAAATATAATTTTAAAATAAAGAATAATATAAATAAAATAAACAACATATTTTGAACACAGAAACAGACCCAAAGAAGCATATTACAGTAGCTAATGCAACCTTTTTCTTGTGTGTGTGTGTGTCTTGTGTGTACAGACATAATTAACATGAATTTCCCAAACTCTGTTTTGTATGAGAATAACCTCACTTCTTGACAAAATAATCCAGAAGACACAATATTTTGTCATCACATTCCCACCCCCTGCCTCCAAAACAAATGAAAAGACAATTTAGCCTACTGGTTTCTCTTGCACAGTTCTAGAAAGTGACAACATCCATTCTGGAAATGAAGAACAACCTAAGTGCTTAAAATAATGACCACAATACAAGTAAGAACCAGTTGCTCCTAATTCACTGATTTCAAAAGTCTTAGGGTATTATCCTTTATGCATTTACCTTGGGCATAAGCTCAATTAAACTCAGTGGGACTTATTGTGGAGTAGTAAGCATGCATAGCTTTCTACTGCTGATACCTGTTTTGGGTTGTGGCCAAAGGACGTAATTAAGGTTAATAGACAGATATAAAGTTTGCCAGTGATCTCTGCAGGAGATACCTCATTTTATCAACCACTTTATGCTTAACTGAGGCCAAGATAGTCATGAAAGACACTAAAGCTGCAATCGTATATATACACACATCTACCGATCTACATGGAAATAAATCCTGCTGAATTCCATAGTAGTTATGTCTGGACAGACATGAACTGGATTGCACTGTTAGTTCAACATCACACTTCCACCCATGGTAAAATATCATAGACTTTGCTTACTGAATAATTTTCTCTACTGCTGGTTAGGAGATGCTTCCGGATGGAGGGCTCCTACTGCTAACACAGTCTTGTGCAACTATTCCATCATTTTCCCCTTACTTAAAGCTGTTCTTCTAGTAAGAAAAAAGGAAAAGCACAGTGATGGAGGAGTACGAAAGGCTAAAAATTAGAGAAAATATCTAGACCTCCCAAAAATTCCAGGAGGGAGGAAATGTAATTGCACAGGAAAAGTCTCATCTGGAAGCATCCGTGGTCTAGAGGATTTCCTTTATAGCAGATCACTGTTTTCTATATAGCTCTTTGGAGATGAACCTTACTCCAGCTGATGATGGGTTTTTGGTGCATTTGCTAACTGTGACAATTCAGCCACAGACATATGCTGGTATAACTGATCTCTGAAATCACAACCAGTTGTTTCCTACCGAAAAGGGCTTATGAAAAGTGGTATTACTGAGCATTTAAAAGATTCCAAAAATAGCATTTGAAGAAAAAGGGGACAGAACAGGATTTCAGCAGTGTAGACATAAATAAGAAGCAATACACCACTTGAAAATTTGGCACATTTTTGAGTAACTGCTAACGTGAAATCTTGGTTTTAAAAAAGAAAAGGAAAAAAAAAAGAATCTGAATGCAAAGGACAACTTTGCCTTATACTGGAGTTCTGCTGATTCTAGCAATTCAATGTAACAATATTCCAGAGTCCTGCAAAATTAGTAGTACAGATCAGCCTTTCTGATCAACATACAACATAGTTTTTTTTTCTTTTTCTCTTTTTGGTCAGATATTATTTGGGACCGTTACAACCTCGTTGAGGTCAGTCTCTTCATCCCCCTTCGCTGGGCCAGGTTGGAGGACAATACAGGTTCCAGCCTTGGTGCCTGAGGTGTTCGGTTTAAAGCAAAGTAGGTGGCTGCCATTGCACCCTGCAAAAATAAAAATAAGATCATGCAGTAGTTACGAATAATACCATCTTTCCCTTCTATCATTTTCCTCTTCCTTCTAATGTAAACAGAAAGAAGCATCTGTATCAAGACAGCATTGGCAAGACAGCATTCTCCCAATACAGTGGGGTCTTGACTTAAGAACGGCTCGAGTTAAGAACATTTTGACTTAAGAACCACTCCCATAGGAAAATATTGACTTGACTTACATACTTAGATTTGAGTTAAGAACTGAAAAAAAACCACATGGGAGGCAGGGAAAGTGCAAAATTTGAACTTTCAGTTAACTGTTGGCCAGTGAAAAGGGTGCCTGTCTGCTTCCTCACTCCTCCCAGCGTTTAGAGAGCAGATTGGGAGACAGTCTTCAGACTGCTTGGACTGTATTTTCCCTGCCTTCCCTGAACCTTTCTTGACCTAAGAAAAAAAGAAACAAAATATCCCCCTCTAGTGGTTGAAGGCGGAATAGCAGCTTCCCATTAGTTTCTATGGACGGAAAAGAGCAGATACGGATCAAATGGTTTTCAATGCATTCCTATGGGAAATGCAGATTTGACCTGAGAACTTTTTGACTTGAGAACCGCCTTCCAATACGGATTAAGTTCTCAAGTCAAGACCCCACTGTATTCCATTTTCAAAGCCCACATATATGTTACAGATAAACTAACTAACTTTCTTTCAACATTTCAAATTCAGCTTATGAAGTCAAACAATTTCATAACAGCAGTACAACATTCCTGTGGGTAGAGCACATATCTGGAGTAAAACGTATTGGTTGTGGAGTTTTAGTACACTTCTGTGATTATAACATGTGCCGCCAGAATTTCAGGTAATGTCCTTTTGGTTTGAATTCCCCTGTGGATTCCATGATACATTTCATAAAGGAGGTTGAGATTGCAAAGAAAGTGTTTTTGGCTTGGCTTTCCCTTTTGATGACATGTTCATTTTTCTGCCACTGTTGTCTGCCGTTGGGGGGGTGGGGGTGGGTTTAAAACCAATTCTCTGTTGCCAGTCTGTCCAGAGCCCTCCACTGCACTGCTGCTTCTATCTGTGCTGCCGTCGCTAGGGTGGAGGTTAGTTGGTTGCACAGCAAGTATTCATAAGAATCAATAAATATAGATAATATATACTAAGCCCCACAATACTCAATATTTTGGTCAGTTATTTTTTAAATATGACCACCCACTTCCCTACAAAATGCTTTCTCTTTTGGACACTCCCACCACAGGTGAATTAACTTTTGTCTCTGGCCAGACTCTCTCCAGCATGTGGAGAAATCTGAACATTTGTTTCAGGTCACCAGACAGGGCTTGACTCAGAATGGCTTTTAAAGCATTCACACTGGTCTGGCTTGAAATTTTTTTAAATTGTAGCATTATTCAGATTTTCTCCCATCGCTGCAGCATGATGCTAACTGAGAAATATAAGTACTGATTGTGTGTGATTGTCACATCAGGAGTTTTTCTTGCCTCCCATAATTGTTTTGTTTTGTTCTCTGACTGGTCTTATGACCATAAGCATATTCTTCCTTTTAAAGTCTGATTTTTTTTCCAGATATGAAAGAATATCTCTGTCACTTCTCTTGAATATTAATATGATTTCAGCTTTCATGAGATCTGTAATGGCTGAAATCCAGTAGTAAGCTGCACCTAGAGTAGGCCCACTGAATCAGTGGAAGTTACATAGCGGATGATTCACCAAATCCCTGCTGATTCAATGAGCCTACCCTAGCTGAAGCTTGCTAATTTTTATTATGTGGTCGTAGAACTGATTATACAAATATATAGAGAGAGTAAATACATAGTATAGTATAAAATCTTGCTTTAAAATGCCCTTTTAAAAGGGCTGAGGGAAAGCAGCTAAATCTAGCCATTGAAAAGGCAAAGCGGTATATCAGTGCTGTAATTTGGTATAGGTAGTGAAGCTTGCTAGATTTCAGCCAGTGCATACTTCCAGTCAATGTAGATATGAAACCGTCACCATATTCCTCAAACTATCTTGGATATGAGACCCATCTACTTCATTAGCAATGTGTCACAATGGGCATGAGAGTATTTTAAGTGGTGTTAAAACAGATAAACACAGAGAGCTTTCCTTCTCCTAGCAGTTCCTTAAACTAATTGGCACGTGAAACCTAAAAAAAAAAAACAGTTTATGTTGGAATCGTTGCTTAATATATGGAGAAACATAAAATAGCAATATTTGTACTTACTTTTACCAGGTGAACATCCTGTCTACTGAGCTGATTCTGGGATAAATATTCCCTGTTTATTATCCATGGGTGTCTTAGAACTTGGGCTGCTGTTAAGCGTTGATGGGGATCTACATGAAGCATCTTTGATACAATATCCTGTTAAAAAGGAATTACCAAGAGGACAAAAATATGACAATTTTTCTAGATTTCTGTGGATAAACTTCAGTTTTAAAGCCTAGACAATGGTAGATTACAAACATGGAATTCTAGAATGGAAAATGTCCTTGAAATGTCATTGTCTGAGAATTAGCGTGCTACATTCTTTTAATATATTCACTGTAATGAGACTGAATTGTAAGAGGGAGGTGAAGAGATGGAAACACAAAAACTCTTGGACTTCTGCTTGGATTTCAATATAACTCAAGCCATGTCATTGTTGTCCTCCTGCGCTTGCTCCCAAACCATTCTAATGATGATCAAAATCTTCAACCACATGTTTCTGGTGGATTTCATAGTTACTCTTGACATCCATAAGATGTACTATATCAAGCAGGCATTTTGATGTGGTTCATATTAATCAAGCAACCCAACTTTTAAACCATGTTAATTTAAGTTTCTACCTTTACTGTCAGAGGGCAGATGCAGCCATGCTAGGCAAATAACATTTAGGTTGTAACATACTGGCATATTTATAGTTGAAAGATTCTGGATGGACTACAGAAGGATATAATGCATTTGCTTACCTTAGCTGCATCAGATATTGAATCCCAGTTTCCACCTGTGAGTGCATATTTTCCACTCCCAATTCTAGCCAGAATCTCCTCTGGAGTATCATCTGGTCCATTTGCAAAAGGAGTGAATCTGTACAGCAAGAAGTACTATTTTTAAAACATGTTTGTGTACAATACAGAATTGTCATATCAAAGTATGAGGTCTGGTTCAAGTTTAACACTGTAGGGAACACTCTGTCTTCCTATATATATAATGGTATTGGCCTGCACCAATGAGAGCTGTTGGGAGGCGGAGCCAGAGAAACTAGAAGGGAGGGGAGAATCAGAGTCTTCAGTCAGAGAGAGCTAGAGAGAAAAAAAGTTTTGGGGTTTGAGGCAGAGAGAGAGTGTTTAAGGAGTGATTAGGCAGAGTGGGACCGGAATTAATTAAGATAGGAGAGGTTAAAGTAAAATACCGAAGCTTTGTGTAACTTTAAGAATGTGCTTAAGAACTATTCCTAAAACAACTTGTAATCAATAAACCTGTTTCTCTTTAAAAGTTTAGTACTGAATGGACCTCAGTCTTTCATAGGAAATATAGATTGATAAAGAGATCAACTGGTGGCAGCGTCTTAAAGGGCGTGTTGGGATACCTTTGTGAGCTCTGTGTTTGGTGAAAGAAACAGGGGCCATGGGGTAAATATCACAAACACCTACTGAAGAAAGTAACAATGCCACTGGTGGAAGTACTACTAAAAACAACAACAGCACATGCTGCAGGATTAAGCCCTTTCTCTACATGAGCACAACTGAAATGTATCATTCTTTGTCTTAACCCTTCAAGATACAATAAAATTCCAGCTGAAATAAATTTTAGAAATACAAAGTGAAGGACAGGGCAAGAAAGCTATTTTTAGTGTTGTTTTTTTTTTTAATTTAAAAGGGGGGAGAGGAGACAACTTTAATAGTATACATCTTTAGAACTCAAAGCTAAGAAATCCTGCCAATATTATTTATTGTACTGTTCCATGCCTTGTTTCTATCTTTATAATACCTTTTGCTCTCTGAGTTCTGAAGTCTATCAAAAGATTGCAATGCCAGGAAATCCTTTCACCTACCCTGCTAACATGGTGTACAACAGAATCCCTAAGCTCCAGATATCACAAGCTGCATCATAGCCTTGTCGCTTCAGGACCTGTAGAAAAGGAAAGAAAATAACAAAAAAGTATTATTATATTCCTCTCCTATGGGAATTGTGGAATATTTAAAAGTATTTGGTTCATATTGCCTTGACTTTTAGAAAGGATGGTGTCTTGGATTAAAAGTTTTTCAGTAACTGTGCAAGATGAGTTATGCATGTTTATTTATTTATTTAAAATATTTTTACCCCTTCTTTCTCCTTGAAAAGGCCCCAAGGTGACTTAAAAAAAATGAAAGGCAATATTTAAAGCTGAAAACAATGAGTATACAACAGTGGTTAACATCATTAAAAGACAATATTTAACTATGAACAACAAATAAATAAATAATAAATAAGGAAGCATCTTACAATATTAACAAGCAATTTTAAGGCAAAGATCAGTACGTATACAAAAAAAGTCACTCTGATTAATGGAAAACATAAACATGGAAAGTACAAAATGGAAAACACAAAAATGAAAAATTCAAGTAGTACTAAAATCCAGTCAAAGCAGTAATGCATAATATTTTATCTAACAATCACACACAGGTAGCTGGTTTACTGAGGGAAGGCTTGCCTGAGGAGAAAGGTCTTTGCCTGCTTGTGGAAGGATAGCAACGATGGGGCCAGTCTGGCCTCCTGTGGGGGTGAGTCCCAAAGTCTGGGAGCAGCCACAGAGAAGGCGATATGCCCCATCAGACACACCTGTGAAGGCAGTGGGACCAAGAGAAGCGCTTCTCCTGATTATCTAAACACCCAAGTCAGCTCATAATGGGAGATACAGTCGTTGAGACACCTTGGATCCAAGTCACCTAGGGCCTTATAGGTTAAAAGCAACACTTTGAATTGTGCCCCGTAACTAACTGATCTGCTGTAACACGGAGGTTATGTGATCCCTATAATGAGCATCCATTAGCAAACTGGTTGCTTCATTTTGGACCCGCTAAAGTTTCCTGGTACTTTCCATCAGCAGCCCCACGTAGAGTGCACTACATTAATCCAGCTGGGAAGTAACTAGGGTGTGTATCACAGTGGCCAGATCAGATCTCTTACGAAATGGACACAGCTGGCACACTAGTTTTAGTTGTGCAAATGCACTTCTGGCCATCCCCAAGGCTATTTTATTTTTCTAGCTCTGCATGCTTCATTTTTGTTTGCCAAAAAACAGAAAAGATATTGAAGAAGGGAGAACTGAATGCCAGAATTGGCACACTTGCGACTCCTGTATCCCAGGAGCCTTCTGCAATAAGTAGTTACTGAGAAATGATATAAGATAAACATTCATGGGGTAAACAAGCAAAAATGATTTTAAAAAATCTCACTCTTTTATGCAGTAGCAATAGTGGCCACCCTGTTTCTAGGTTCTTCTGTTTCCTCTAACTTAGTTCAGTCTAGCCGCCTAGAGTGGTCGTTCGACTAGATAGGTGGGGTATGTATTTATAAATAAACAAACAAACAAACAAACAAACAAATGTATGTTACAGTAGCTGGGAGGGAGGTGGATTTTCCCCCAGAAAAATATATTTTTGCAAGTTATCCCTGGTGTAATGCAAAGTATTTGAAGGTGGTGTGGCCCTGAATAGCTATTTAAGAACTAATCATTCTACAAAAGACCTGCTATTATTTGCTGTTGCAGACATGCATTTCTTGACTCCTAAGAGAGTCATTTGGTCCATTTCTCATTTTGGTCATTCCTGACTTGATGCATTAGATAGAAGGTGATGGACAAAGGCCAGAGGTTCCCAAACTCTTGCGGGTGCAACCCCCAGAGGGTGTTAAAAAGTCCAGTAGGGTGGGAGGTACTGAGATTTTTATTTTTAATCTGAAACAGTGAATTGAATTTTTGTTAAAAATGGGTTACATGATAGTGGGGAGGCATGAGAGTTTCTTCAAAAGGTGCATGATGTTGAAACGTTTAGCAACTGATCATTCAGAGTATGGCATCTTCCCAAAAAGATACTGAATTCTGACAAGAACTTTCTGATATCTAATTAGAAAAAGAATGATAGCATATTTTAATGTTGGAAATGTTTTAATATTTAATTCTAATATTATACATGACTGTTTTCCTAGTGATACATTCCTTCATAGAATAGGGTTTTTTGGAACTATTTCTTTACTGAGTATTTTACTGATAGAAATAGCTTGAATATTGTGATATTCTGATTCTGTCCAAACTATTTTCAATCTATTAATGTATTCTTAATGTTTGCAAGCAGCCTTGGACATTATTCTGTTAGTGGAATGGCAGGATGGATGGATGGATGGATGGATGGATGGATGGATGGATGGATGGATGGATGGATGGAT